TCAATTGCATTAGATCACATTTCATCTGGTGGGGGGCAGTCTACTTAGGGAAAAACAGTTTCTATAAATCATCTGTAAATTCAGGATTAGTATATACGTGAGAGATACATCTTCTTAAAGGATTGACATGATTAATGGATCTTATCAGCAAGAAATAAAAACTGGCTTTGCAAGTTAGTTCACTCCAAACTGGTCAAGCTGGGATACAGCAGTTCATGGGATTACTAACTGCAGGAAGAAGTCACAACCTGTAGCCACCTCTTCACAGTTTCTGCTACAAAGAAAGCCTAATTAACTGTCCAAGATTATGTAAGAAGCACTGGAACTGAAGTTGGCACACTCCCTAAAAGTATTTATGTGCTAGCAAAACAAGCTCTGGAATAAGGAAGCAAATTCTTTACTAACTACCTGAACGTTCTCTGCTACACAATTAAGACGGTCATTTTCTCATAAAAATGCTATCAAAATATTGAGGAAGTAGGATGCTAGACTAAAATAGACCTACGGCCTGATCCAGCAGTTTTTGTGGGTTTAATTCTGTTATGAATACCTGTCAAAGAAGATTGGTGGTTTCAATAAATACACCCAATTTTTCAAAGTAGCACAAAGAGAAGGAAATTAGGGGCAATCCTAAATGTGGGAAGCCAGCATAAGTTACAATGGGTTAAATAATGCTAGCGTAAAGTATGCCAGAGCCAATCTCCATTCAAAGTTTGGCCTAAGTCTGGAAGAAGGAAAAACAAGTCTTTTAAAACAGAGTTGCAACACACTTTTTGCAAGCTTAACTTACACGAGATTTGCCAGGTCATGTAATCAAACTGAATGGGCTTAGCATAAATTAGAGGGGTTTTTTTTTTTTAATTTAACTCAACTCAGTTAAGGAACTGCAGCTCATGCCTCCATGATCCAGCAAGCCACACCTATGTCTGATCTGGGCAGTCCCAGGCAGGCAGCAAAAACACCAAAATTGTCCCATACAGAGCCAGGTCCTTGGCTCATTTTGCGCAGTATTTTGTACTGGCAGCATTTCACCAAGGCTTCAGGATGATGCCTTTACAAAGCATTTCTATGGAACTGGAAGATGCGAGGCAACTGAATCTGGAAAAGTCTTATGTGCAAATTATGTGCTCCTATCACTGAGCTTCAAGCCATTTACTGAGTCCCTGGTGGCTGATGGATTGCCCCAGCTTGGTGGTTCACAAGCTGTGGAGCCCTGCTGTAAACACATGCTGTTTAAATTCAAGGCAAATCACATGACCTTTACCAACGCTTGGCTTACCGTACTATTTCCTCAATTTGTTGACTTATTGTTATTCGTCCAACGAATCTGCAAAAGAGATTAATGTGTCAGAAAGACATATTTCTTCTATTCCAGCTCTGCGAGTTAGCAAAAACTATGCAATAGAAGGAAGAGAATGTTTGTTTATTTATAAAATTTGTCTACCACCCTTCATCCGAAGATCATAGGGCAGCTGACCAAAAAGAAAATAAATACGAAATGAAAACACAAAATTCATAATAAAACAAAGCAAAACAAACAATAAACCCCCTCCTGTGATCTGACAAAGAAATCCTCCTGGTTTGTGAAGGATTTCAGAATGCTGCAGAGATCTGTTCCAAATGCTGAAGGTGTTTACCACTATAGGGCAGTGCAAAGTAACTGATTTAAAAAAGAAACTACACAGATCTCCAGAGCTTTTGAAAACTATGGAACAGTCGTTCTCATTTCTACAGCTGCGCAGAGTGATGCAGATTAATGTTCAAATCTATTGACCCATTAAGTCAGGCATTGTCAACCTGGTCCCTACCGCCCACTAGTGGGGCATTTCAGGATTCTAGGTGGATGGTAGGGGGTTCTATAGCACAAGCTGAATCCTCCTCACCATCGAGCACTGGTGGGCGCTAAGAAAATTTTACCATCTAGAAAGATGCATTAGTGGGCAGTAGGTATAAAAATGTTGACTACCCCACATTAAGTAATCTGGTCCTTGCCAGGCCTTGCAATCAGGTTTATCATTTAAAAAGTGGACGTTTAAGTCAGGAGTGTTATGTATGCACCGTCAGTACAAGGTTCTCTGCTAGTACTTACAGATTTAAGTAGCTCATGCATTCACATAAAGATAAGAATTTCTAGAAGAGTTTTCTGCAAAATCATCTAATCCTTAGAACACTATAAACATTGCTTTCCAAATCCTCTTTGGGGGAAAAATATATTTTAAAAAATGACACCTGTATAGATCTGCTTCTGGTTGCTGACATTCTATAACAGCTACAAGTTTGTCCAGATTGGCAACTGACTGCAATACTGCTGTTTCGGGGACTTGCAACATGCGTCTGAAATAAAAAGAAATAATCACTCAGGTTCCATTAGGCAACAATAAGCAGCATATTGTGCAAATGCTAAAAAGACATAGGCTTGCAACTTACACACACATATATACACACACACATTAAACAGAGCTGTCTGGTTAAGATACCAACTAAGCCTCCAAACCGCATCTTAAATTTTCCAGTACATCAGCAGCTCCCAAAGCAACACTGAGTGCACATAAACGACGATTTGTCAAGTGCTAACTTGCCAAAATGTGCATATTACCTTTTGAAAAATCAGTCAGCTGTACTGTGCTGCATCTGTTCAGAAATCCAAAGTGTTTAGATTTCTCATCATTTAGCAGAGCAATGCAGAGGACAGGCTTATCAGGTGATTTACATGCACACCACTTGATAAAACTGTTGCAGGCTTTTGACTGATGAGCAAACACAGAATATCAGTCTTGGGTGGGGCAGCCATCCCCTCAAGTTACTGACCCCTATGCTTACAGAATGCACACATCATCACATGCACATAAGCCTTGCATCTCTGGTACGCCGGTAGTACACACACAGTTTTGTTCATAGCACAGAACATGCTTTTCTTACAGATTCTTCTATCTATAGAGAGTTATAAAATTATTTTCAAGGGCAGACAGTAGTAACTATTTCAGAATGAGAATACCGTAAACACATACATCAACTGCAGTTCTGTCACTTGCTATTTTAACTGTGTACAGGTATAACTGAAATTAGGTTCATTTTTTCTCCAGGTCATGTCACTACTGATGCAGACCTTGGTTTAAACAACATGCTTTGAGATTCTGATATTCTGAGGTGCACCCAGGGGAATTCAACATTCTCCTTTTCTGTAAGAGGGATTTGGAATATATCAATCTTGGTTATCAGGAAACAAAACCTAAATCTAACTTAAGGTATACAAAAGGTGATGAAAACAGACCTTAAGATTAGTTTCTCCATCCAAGCTTGCAGTAGTAACGTAGCAAGAGCCATCTGCTCTGTCAGATGACAGAAGTACGAGATCAACAGGGAAAGTTTCATCTTTGGCTACTCTGACAATATCTCCCACCTGAGAAGACAGGCAAAAATATCTGTTCAAATACACCTTCACAAAAATATTTTTGTAACTTTCATTAACACATGCTATATAAAGCAACGGCCCTTTAAATTACCTTTTTAATTTGCATGTATACACACACAAACACACACACACACTTTTGAAATGTTCAAAATCATTTTGCACTGCTCACACACATACCCGAATGTTCTTTGATCTTGTTTTTACAAGGCCACCACTGCGAACAACATACACTGGAGCTCCATTCACTTCATTGTCTGCTTTATGGCGTAACCAATCTTCATAGCCCTGGAAAAGATGCAAAGAAACATTTTTTGGGGGGAGGGGAAAGCCAACAATACACATAACTGCCTAAGAAAAAGCACCTATGCAACCAATTTGCTGATAACTACGGGCAACTCCCAATTTATGCACATTCTATTTGCTCGCAACCGTGCACACGAGCAGTGCTGGGGAACTGGAAATGGGGAGCATCCTAGAGAGTCTGCCTGGCTCACAAACAGACCCTCCCCAGAGCCCGAAGAGGATGTCCTCTCCGGGCTCCAGGCAGGTTGTTCTCACAAGCTGGAGAGGCAGCAGGGCTTTATTGAGCTGCTCAGCCTAAGAGCTGACATTTGGGGTAGCGCAGCAACAGCTGTGGCTTCCCTGTGTGTCAGCTGAGAAGTCCCGCTGCCCATCCAAGCTCACGTGGAGGCTGTCACCAGAGCCCGAAGAGGAGCTCCTCTTCAGACTCTGGGGAGTGAGCCTGAGGCTTGTTGAGGTTGCTCAGCTGATGTGCGCAGGAAAGTTTCTTTCCTGCATGTCAGCTAGGCTGGTTGACAAAGCTCTGCTGTCCCTCTGCTCATGTGAGATGAACTGTGACGCTTGTTTGTGCAATATGGAGGGGCAGCTTGGTTGACCAGTCCAGCTAACGCACGGCGAAGGTTCCTGCACATCAGCTGAGCGAGCCGGGGTGGGGAAGCGGGGCTTCCTCAGATGACACGCAGGGAAGCTGCTGCTGCTGCTATTGCACTACCCTGCACATCAGCTCTAAGACAGGGAGGCTGAGCAGTTCAGAAAAGCCCCACTGCCCCTCCTTGAGGACTCTTCCGGGGTGCTCCCCATTTTATGCAATTTTATGCAAATAGGAGTCTAAACTGTAACCCCCACATAAATGGGGAGTCACCTGTATAACGTATCAAGCCAAGAACAAGGATCAGCAACTGGCAGCCCAGTAGGCTCTAGGTAGGGTGTTGTTTCCGCTTTAAATTGTGTTCCGTGACCAGAAATGTAACTTTTTAGCTGGCTTTGTGATAGTTGGGCTGAGAAAAAAAATGACTTAGGATAGAAAAAGAAGGGGAAAATAAGCAGCATTTTGTATTGTTGATATGCAACTCAAATTCACTAGGCAAGAGGTGACACAGATAGCCTCAGAAACTTATTAGAATTTCCATCACAGCACCTGCCTGCAGACATGCTATGACACATGTCCTCTACAAATGGGACAGGTCACGTCCACTAATGGGATAATCTGCTAGGTGTTGCAGTTCAGCTCATGTGGAATCTCCCACTACATTGTCAAATACAGTTAATGCCGCCTTCAAGACACACTCAAGTGATTTTGCCTTATTTATGGCCAGCATGTGTATTACAGAAATGTTCCCGAAGAAGACAGAGCTGGTGTGAGAAATTCTGTAGGCATGCCTGGAGAAGGGTCATGAGAGTCTAGAGGAAGCCACAGATGTCTGGTCTTCCCTTAGTTACCACTAACTTGACTGAATGCAAGGCAGTGACAGGCTGCGACAAGGCAATTACAATAGGCCTGGAGACTGGGAAGAACAAAAACAAAAACAAGATGTGTACAGCTTTCAAATACAGCATAGCCTCTCTCAGTACATAAGCTATTGTTATGCAAGAACTTACTCCGCTGGGTAAGTGTGAGGCTGCTGGAAATAAGAATTTATGATGCATACTGACATACAAAGTCCTCGCACAAAAACTGGGGTGAGTCTGTCACTGCCCACTTAGGGGTGTTGCTGTGAGTCACTGACTGCATGGCAGCGAGACAAAAATAACCCTAGGCTGACCTGCTTGATAGGCAACATAAAACATATTTACTTGTTTTCAGCTAGAAGCTAGAGTCTAGTAGAATGCTGCTCAAATCTCATGAAGGTCCAAACAGATGCAACAGCAGCAGACATGCCCAGAATTTGGCTGGCCGAGCTCCATTGCATACAAACCATCTCCCATTCTATCTCAGATGAACTGACAAATCCATAGAACATGTACGACAAACTCATATCTGGACTCTGCTCCACAACTGTCCATTTCTGCCCAAGATTCTCCACTCACTAGTGTATAGAAATGATGAATTTGACTTGTTTCAGGTCAGAATTGTAGGTCACATAGGCCATTCTTGCAGCAAGTTTATCCCCTGCAACATACAGGATTACACAGGGAGGCATCATGGCATCATGTTAAGCACTGCTTTGCAGTGTGATGATGCCACAACACAAGGTAAGCAGCCCTACACATTCTGGAAGACAGGGAAGTAACCTGAACACAGGGATGTTCTGTTCTGTATTACACAAAGCATGTCCATCTGCCCTAAGCGAGTACCTTCTAAAGCACCTGTGTTTCCTTACCTGCTTTATGGCAGTCACAGTTATTACAAAAAACAATGGCAATCCACTGGTTATTGGACTTGTAGGTGTATCTATCATAAGCTGGAGAGGAAAACAAAGATGAAGACAGCGTCAGCACATGCCACAATAGTACACTGAACGCAGGGCTCTACAAGTCTTAGCTGGGCTTGGTAGCTAGCCAATGTTTGTGGCTGGCACTGACTCTGCCCCATCCCCAACTCTTCTCCTCTACCACATGAACTTTTGGGAATGGTATGCTGGTTCCAAGTGGCTGCAAAGCCTGGTTGAACGTTAGGCATGTACCAATCAAAATGCAGGGCTCATCCCCAATGTCATGTTGGGCTTTAGAAGCATTTAGGACAACAGCAAGTGAGAATGAAGAAAATGTGGTGTCCATCAGTCTAGGCTGAGCACAAGGAGTGGACACAGGTCTGAAAAGTGGCTCCCTAGATTTCCACTCTCAGCACAGAGAGGACTGCTCACAGAGCTGCTGGGAGAAGGGCACATGTGAAACAAGATTTCAGCATGACAGAGAGACTGAAGTTGCACAATGCCTAGCAATGTACCTTAATCCTAACTAACAGGTTCCCTTTGCTCTTATTGCAAAATAGGCAATCACAACCTGCCCTATTAACACTGTTGTGCTAACTGCAGCAGAAAATATCAAAAAGCTCTGCTTTTATTGTTTTCATGTTGCTGGAAAGAAAACGCCATCTTGCAGGATATGATGCATGTCTTCAAGAAAATAAATGAATGGAACAGCAATTATTCAGAAACTAACATTAATCCAAGAGACTTCCTACCTCTAAGGAGAATTTCACACATCTCTAGGAAGCTAGAATAAGAGATTTTATGCAAACAATCACGAAGGAATTTCAAGGATTAGCATCCTATTTAGCCAATCTTTATTGAAAAACAGTTAGGGCAACGTAGTGACAATCTGTCATCTACTTTGAACACTGAAATTTCACTTAAAGGAGCCAATATGTGTGTGGGGGGGTTTAGTAGTCCAAATTGCTTTGTTTGTAGAGAACTAGTTTTAAGGCTTGCCTACTTATTAGGTATCAGTTTATCAGTTTGCAGCTAAGTACCACTTGGTATTTGTTTTGACAACAAGCTTAGTCACACTTTCATGCAGCGGCATGGGAGGTGCTGCCTTGTGGTCAATCTAAACCATCTGGAAGACTGTGTGGTGCATGCAGCAGATAATGTTAGCAAGTGAGTGAAGTAACCACACAGTGGCACCAGTTAAGTTCTTTCCCACCCACTCACTGAGGCAAATGGCACCGACCAATTCAAGCATACACCTAAGTAGTATGGCACTGAACAAGAGGCGAGCATAACCCTGTGTAGGAGAGAATACAGTGAACACAGAAACAGGCTCACACAGCACAGATTTGACTAATGGCTTGTAGCTTCTTACAATCCGAGGTGCTAACGCTAACCACCATAAGCACAGCACCACAAACATGTGGGAAAGGATATCTTTGAAACTGTTGGCTAGCAATGCATTTATCAGGACATGTTGTTTCTAACTCTACACCAAGAGTCCTAGATTCTGCACCCCTGAGTTACAAATTCATTTACATCCATTTTGCATGCTCCAAAGGCACCTTTTCCAGCATCCTTTATGTTCCGTAAGGACTTGTATTTTTTTAAATTTGTAAGTAGTATTTGACATCAAAAGGCATCGAAGGCATCTCTAATGAAAACAAAGGCTATACCAACAGCCAGGTTGAAAGAGCCTGGGCTGCAGATTCCACTGTGCATGATAAGCCATGAAACCTGTATGCTATCTACAGAGCTCTAAAGCTCTACAAAGAGTGAAATGTCTCCAGTTCTCATAAACTGCAGCCGGTATGTCCAGTAATCAGGCATGGGAGCTGTAGTCCTGCAACATGTGGAAAGCCACACAGTCTGCCTTTTCCAAGTTTAGCATCATGCATGAATGTGGCCTATGGGACTTCACTTTTACAACCATGAAGTCAGTCAGTAGTCTACTGAAATGAGGTACAATCGTTTGAAGAGTATGTAGGTCAGTCTTTTGTTTCCTGGGTTTTGTTTGTTAACTGTATGCTAGATGGCTCCTTGCTTTGTTTTGTGTTTTCATTTTAAATCCAGTCTGAACTCCTTTATGGAATAGGCATAAAAAATGAAATACGCAAGTTCAAGCCAATTTCATTGGTGTGTGTGGAGTGTGTATATGTGAGTATACATATGTGTGTGCGTGTGTGTGTGCGCGCGCTGAAATCCATTAATATTATCCCAGTATTGATTCTAACCTTATTTGCAAACAGAACAAGTGTTGCAAATTAAATTGCGTTTTTCAATTTGTTTCCCTGACAGAAATTGAAAGCATTCAAGTACCAACTAGGAAATACACCGGTACGGAAAAGTGAGACAAATGAGCCAAAGTAGTTCATATTGACAATACAGTTCAATAGAACTTGCTGCTCAAATATTAACATTTGTGTGTTTTCTTATGAACCAGCTTTTCCTGGATGTCAGGATTCCTTTCTTTCTCAGATCTATTTTTAGAGGGGCAGAGGCTGCAACAGAACTTGTGAAATAAGCTATAAAAAGTGTAAAGGAAAGCCTGTTCCCGATGACTCACTACTAGATGACATCACTATATGCCAACCTGCACAGACAGGATGAATGCCTACCCAGAAGAGAGAAAAGAACCTTTAAACACGTTTATTGAGAACCTGATTTTCCAGGTGCTTTTAGAGGTTTCATTGTTTCCCGCCCTCTTTGCCCTCACTTCTTAAAAATTTATTAAATGGCTACAAATGGATTTTTAATGTACTATTTTTATGCAGAAATCCCAGCGAGTATTCTGAGATCACCCAGTATAGAACTGACCTATGAGTCAAAATGAAACAAACAAATGAAACCAAACCAAGCCCAGGGGTGTGCATGTGCACAAGATGGAACCAAAGGTTGTGTCAACACTTGTGTCCTCTTGTTAGGGGCCAGTTACTGCTACCACACAGCTCACGCTGCACTGAATCCAACAGGCTGGTCCTAGTTGTTCCTGGTTGTGACACATCAAGGGGACACGTTTAGTGCCAGGCTCAAGCTTAAGAGCCCATGCCATGAGGCAGTACTTTTGTTAAGACCCTCCTAACACAGCTGGAGCAAGGAAGCATGTCTAATACCTTTAGAAAGGGTTGCCTTGTCATGGACTGCAATGACAATATCATGACCCAATATTACAACTGGAGGAAAGGTGCATTAGACCAAAGGTAGAAGGGGTGGGTTGAGGTTTACACTGCACATTTATTATCTATCACCGAGAGACAACAAGGCTACGAAGGAACACTTTAGCAATGCTCTCTTAGGAAATTATGCTCTCTCATATACATTTCTAGAAGGGTGCTTTATGACTTTGCAGTCTAAAGTGCGCTTTGAAATTACTTAGCAGTTTTGGACAATATTCAAACTTTAGGTTGCCTGATAGGTGTTGCACCTGTTATTACAAAGCAATTTAGAGGCATTTTAATACTCTGCTACAGCACTGCAGCAAAACAGCCACTATAACTCCAAGCACAGCCAGCCCAAAGGCCAGCTCAACTGAGTAAGAGGGCTGATCAGGTCGCCAGGGAGAAATCTACTCTGCCATCTGACTGGTTATTAAATAAATAGCAGAGGAGAAAGAGATGATTTAACTCTCAAGCTCTCCTTCATATGTTATAGGGGATGCTCCTTATTGACAGGGGTTTGAGAAACTCCCTATCAGATTACCAAAACAAGCAAAAAGGATGTCCTTTCTTATTTTGACAGTGATGGAATACATGTCACCATGCATTTATGCTCCAAAGCTGATGCCTGAGAATTCTAACTTTCCTGATTCTTTTCTATTCATGGTAGGTGGGTAGTGAGAATATGCAAAGTGTATCACATCAAGCAAGTTACCTGGTCATTTTCTGGCTTAGCAAGAAATGAATAGAGATGACCTCTCCCACTCCACCTCAGAGCAAATCCATTACTTCTGACTATCTCACTCTTACCAGCAAAATTTCTTTAAGGGTTTTAACTCTTCCTTCTAAATTATTCAGTTAGGTAGCTGTGTTGGTCCTATGCAGTTGGTCTCTAAGGTGCTACTGGACAATTTTTAAATTCTAAATTATTGTATTAAAAATCAAATTCACTGGAAACGAACCCCTCATATTTGCAAAATGTCAAGGCTTAATTCTATGCATTAAGAGTTACTAAACCAAACCCTCATACACTAGCATCCTTATATTCAACAATCAACAACCATAACAACCAATTCCCGTATGAGAGAGTCCACATCTGTTATATATCCTAAAGCAATGCTAGATTACCCAATCACATAGAAGCCTATAAATCACTTAAAGCTTATTTTGGTATATTAAGTGGAATATAAATGACTTACCTGAACCAAAAATATAATAAGAAAATAAAAGTTGGCTACCCTTCTGAACTGCTCAAACAAATTTTTGGGAACAAAATTCCATACAGTATACTGTAAGAGAAAGAAATATCAACAGTTACAAGCAGCGTCACAAGCCACACTGCAGAAGATAAAACAATTTTCAGCTTTAAATATTAGGGAGTTTCCCCAAGAAATTTATTAAGTGGATCTAAAATAAGATAACCCTCTTCCCAAAATCTCATGTCAAAATTTTTTTTACCATTAGTTTAACACCACACCAAGGAAAAGACTTGAGAGAAAGTCAATTAGTGACTGAAAAACTTATTTTCCAAGTTCAGCTTTTGACCACCTAAAATCTGGCAGAGGGATGGCAACCTCCAGTCCAGAGACCTAATTTGGCCTGGTTTGGATTCTACTTTGGACCATAAAATCATTTCCCCCAAATCACAGTCACCTTCCCCACACTTGACATCACATGTGGTGCGTCTTATACATGGGAAAATATGGTAGATTATATTATACCTAATAAAGGATTTACATGTTTCTGAACTTACACCAATGCATTATAAATGCACTCCCCCCCCCAAATGGCAATAAAATTGTTTGACCTCTCTGACTTTGAATACATTAGTCACTTTGATTGTTTATACGTTTTACGAAGTCAAACTGGACTGGATAAAATGTCTTTTTTTTTTTTTTACAATCCTCTATAGAATTGAACTTTTGGGGTTAGCTTTTCAGACATGGCCAGCAACCAGACTTTATCATACCAAGTTTACATCGTGGCTTTTCCCTATTATTTCCAAATGCATGTGATGGGCAGTCTTGCTGTAACCTGTAAATAACCAGTTAATTCCCCCCCCTTACAAAACACATATACACAATATAATACACAGAGTGGGAACTGGAGATACTACATCTCCAGTACCTCTGAGAAAATGATGGTGAGTTGGAAGGCAATTTAATAGGCATGAAGTGCCAACAGAAAATGTTTTTAAGCATTGCTTGCTTTCCTTACATTGACACAGAATTCATTGACTTCTTATTCCATAATTTTGTCCATGCAGCATTGCCTACTGTAACTATTGCCTATTTGCCTATTGCAAAGCATAAGGTCCCATTTCCAACATTCTTTTAGCCTTTGCAGGGTTCTCATTTCTAAAAAGTTATCTAAAGGATAAACTGACAGTGACTTTTAGAAACCTGCCCTGTAGAATCTACGGTTTACGCCAGAACCATTCATTCAAATTCACTCAGATTTATCACCAGCCAAGTTTCACCAAAATATTGTGCTAATAGTCATTCACACTCTGCTATTCTTTTTCAACATCCACTGTCATGACATCTGGTCAGCACTGGGGGGAGTTTAACTTCTTATTCTTTTATGGAATACAGACACAGTCCCTAACAAATTCTCTTTTAAGCAGTGAGCAGAAAATCAGTGTATTGACCAAGAATAGGCAGTTTGGAGAATATACTGGACGCTGGTTTAATGGATTAATTGGAAAGGTCAATCATACATTAAGCATTAATTCTAAAGAAGCCCTGATCTCTATGTGTGTCACGGGATTGCTTTGTAAAGATTTCCTACTTAAAGAAATCATCCTCACACCCTAGATGTGCTGGTGCATGTCAAACCATGCCCCAAACTCAGAATTAGGACCAACCCAATGATTTTCTTGTACATGATGCAAATGGAGACGTCAATACATATTCAGCAGGTGGATAAATGTTTTGCATTATTTGATAATGCTGTATCAGCAGTTTTAGACTTTACAGGAAAACAAGGCATTCAGAAGTTAAGTGTGCTACAATCAATGTGAAAATACACTAATATGTAGGTACATATTATTGCTGGTACGAAATCTGAGCTTTTGGACATATGTTTTTGAGTTGGGCTGCCGATTGGTTATTTTTTTGTATTCTGACACGACCTGGATAGACAAAGTCAAAACCTACCTTTATCCAGCATGCGGGACAAAGCAAAAATTCAGGTAGGTAAAGGTTTCCCTTACCTTAGAGGAGATTATTCTGTTTTCTGCAAACTTCTGAGGAACATAATGACCATGCTGAGGAAAACGATTGGCTATATAAATAGTTCGGTTATCACTCTGATGTGGTGGGTCAAAACCCTGAAAGAAGAAAAGTGATTCCACTTATATCCACAAATAATTTCTACAGCATTTACAATACTTGATATCAAGTAAGCCTGGATTTTATCCTCAGACGATAGTGGGTGGTACTCAGCTAAGTTTTACTCAGAGTAGATCCATTGAAATTAATGATCCTAACTATGTTATGGCACTATCTTCAATAGAGCTAATCTAATACCACCAAATGATTCCTTGCCCAAGGACAACCAGTTGACCTCAGTGATAAGCATGCACTGGAACTAGCATTCAACATCTAACCCAAAGATTATGTTTACTGCTATAGAAATCCCCAACAGTTTAAACAATTAATTTCCACAATTAAAAAACCTCTGCTGAATTCAACATATGGTAGAAAGAAGGAACACTTGCTATTCATTCCTGAAATGCTCTTTAATATAATTTAAATACATTGATTAATGGTATTATTTTAACCTTTGTAGTGTTTCCCAAGAGTTTTGGACAAGAGCCATGAAAACAAGTATGAATTTAGGCAAGTGTCAAAAAGTATACAAGTGTCAGAAGAAATTAGCACCTGCAGGTAGTGCAAGTTAAGGGAAAATTACTGGTTTTCTGCCAGAGCACATAAAAAGAAGGAACTGGGGTGATGGTGCAGAATGAATACATCAAAGCGAAGTGGAAACAGATACCAAAAGGCAGAAGACATTTGTACAGAAAGTAGCAAGTGAGGTAGTAGATCCTAAAAGTAGCAAGTGAGGTGGCAAAGGTTTGATACAGAGCAAAACCCACAAGAGTTAGTCACCGAATAGGAGACCCACACATCCGTTGCCCGGATTTCACACTCTGAGAAGTGGGGGAGGGAAGGAGGAAGGGAGGGAGAGAGAGAGAGAAAGACGGCATGAGAAGAGCACCCACCCCACCCTTTGCCTCTTCCAGCCATTGTTCACGAACACAAAACTAAGCACCTATCTCCTCACCCTACAGAGAGGAAGGAAATACAGGCACTTGGCCATGCAGCAGAACTAGCTACTGACCAGGGATGTGAAGACTACCTCCTCCTCTTCCCCAAGTCCTCTGGCTTGTACAGAGAAACCTGTGGGACTGGCATCTCACTTTGCTGCAACACACTCTCAAGTAGAACGAGTCAGAGAATTTAGGGCAGGCATAGGCAAACTCGGCCCTCCATATGTTTTTGGGACTACAACTCCATCATCCCTGACCACTGGTCCTGTTAGCTAAGGATGATGGGAGTTGTAGTCCCAAAACATCTGGAGGGCCGAGTTTGCATATGTCTGATTTAGAGGAATGTGAGGACATTCTCTCACTTCCTGCTAAGCTTTGGAATCTCACTATTTCTGACTTTCCCTGAAGCATGGAGGCAGGACGACTCCTCCCACTGGACCTGCAAGTGAAGACCAGCCTACCTTTTAGAGCTGCACAGTCACAATCCGACAGTGGACCAAAGACTTCCCTTATCCTGCCCAGCCTTTCCCACTGAGAGCTGGTGATGGTGCAGGGAGAGAGAAGACTGCATTTCACAACCTGTTTCACATCCTGTCTCACTCAATTTCCCTTCCTGAAACTCAGCTGCTAAGACTGGACTACTGCCAAGTGGGCAAGAAGAAGCTATACTTCTCCAGCCCTGTTCCAGAGTTCAGGATTCCACCTCAGGCCCCATTGCTACCATGCAATTTCCTTCCCAATTTCAGCCTTGGCTGCTTTGAAAAGGCACAAACTGGCAAAGGCGCTTTCTAAATTGAGGATCAAGCTGGACTACAACTCCCATTATCCTTGGCCATTGGCCATACTGGGTTGAGCTGATGGGAGCTGGAATCCAACTACATCTGGAAAACACGACTTCTCTTTCAAGGATGGAAACTGGGTCTGGAGCCCCAGCTGGTAGAAGAGTGGCAGGTGGGGCTGCAAAGTGGGGTTCAAAGCCTACAGCCCCTCTCCTGCAGTTTTCCCCTGCAGATGCCACCACACATGACTTTCTCTGGCTGGGATGTGTCCTTGAACAGTGATAATGTCTCATGTTTGGGTGGATGAAGTGTGTATGGGGAAACCGCTGGCTTTTGTGTAGCCTACTGGATGAAGGTGAAGGTCACCCCTATTATCTTGCTCACTTTAGCCTGTAGCCCCCCACACCACCACCAAACTTCCCATCAGGGAAAGTGCCCCTTATGACTGAAAAAGGTTCCCCACCCCCAGCCTTTATCAAGACTGAGAGGCTGAAAAAGTAAGTGATTATGCACTGGCATCAACCTGCATGAATTACTATATAGAACTTCTGCACAAATTTGGGTTCAGTACTTCCAGGCTAGGGGATTCTCCTCAAATTAGCTTATTTCCTCTAATGGTTCATTCCATTCCCTAGTAAGCATTATAAAGCCAAAATGCCAAAACAGAGCAAGAAAACTCATCAATACAGAAAAAAAAGGGGGGGGACTACTTGCAATCAAAATGACGTATAAAGGACAAGAAGTAGAGCAACATGTGCAACTGAAGGTCAATAGAGAATTAAAATCATCTGACCTGAAAGATAAATAAATGTGTGTGGTGCCAAACTATGGTCAGGGTCCAAAAAGTGATTTTGTGGCATGACCAAGGAATTGACTGTGACCAGTGGCTTTCTTTTTAACAAAATTCTGAGATTTTTATATATTAAAAGCAGTTTAGTTAAAAGCCTTTACAAACAATAAACTCTCTTTTAAAACTCCCCAGGGGCAAAGATGTTTGTTATGGGGCAAAATGAACTGAAGATCCCTTGGGACTATGGTTTTATGAGCCAGATTTGGGAATTAGAAGATTTTATACCTTTTCTGAGTATCCTATACAACTCAGCAGTTATTAAATAAATTGTAGTTGCAACACTGGCAAGTTATTAGGCAGGGCAGACCTGAAAAAAGTTGGAAACTATCTTTTTAGTCAAAATTACTTAAGATGCAAAATTCTTTGCCAATGTTCCACACAGCACTGGCAAAACACCATGTTATTATCTTAACTGGAAGGGGTAAGTCCATTACTAGCTGTTTTATTATGTAAGAATGAGTCAGTGGCAATGAGTTTGAGATTTTCTAAAAAATTGCCGGTGCACAAGAATTTTGCAAAGTTACTTTTCCTGCTATATTTTCCTCTCCAAATGCACTAATTCAACAGCTGGTATTTGGTCCTGTGTAGATAAAATGTTTGTTGTCAAATTTTTCAACTGAAGGCCATAGCCAACTGCTCCTAGTTAGAAAGACCTGGAGCTGGACTTTCCTGATGTGGGAAATTGCTACGAAGAGGCTTCAACTGTTCAGTTTCAATCAGCCTTCTCCAGAGCATTTGGAGAGCATGATTTCCATCTTTCCTACCTACACATTAGCCATGTGACTGAGGCTGATGGTTGCTGCAGACCGAAATAGTAGAGAACACCAAGTACATGAAGGCCAGTTTAGACAGGTTCTTAACACTCAGAAGCAATTATTGTCCCCTGAACTGTTCATTATTAAGGTAATTTCTCCCTTATCTTACATCAACTCACACATGCTGTGACCTAGTAGACCAGGCATAGGCAAACTCGGCCATCCAGATGTTTTGGGACTACAACTCCCATCATCCCTAGCTAACAGGACCAGGTGTCATGAATGATGGGAATTGTGGTCCCAAAACATCTGGAGGGCCGAGTTTGCCTATGCTTGTAGTAGATGAAACTAGGACACTGATCAGCTAAGAGGAAGTAAGACAACCTTAAAGGTATATCAAGTTATGAAGAAGCAATGTAAGTTGTCTCTGAAGAGGTTTGTTCAAGATCACGGAATGCCATTTTCTTCTCTCAGCTGCTGTATCTTCCAAAAACAAAAGCAAAACTCTCTCTTGTTAATAAACAGTAGCAATAAATAAAAAGTATTATTAAAAGAATACTGTGTACATCTCATTCACTAGTACAAAGACAAGGATGCTTGTCATCCATAGGTTATAGCCAAGTATGCTCCCCACTGAAATCAATGTACTTAAATTATTCACCCACTGATTTTAGTAGGTCTACTCTAAGTAGCTCAATTGGCTACAACTAATCGTAACCAAACCCTTTCCCTGATGAATTTTGCATGTTAATTACATGACAGAGACTAATTGTTGGGAGCTTGTTCGCATTACGAACAGACTCCATGACAAAATGTTTCATGTAAACAAGCCATCAAGTGACAAAAATGTCCTCTGGCTCTTATCTAACAGAGGCATATTTTTGAGCATTACTTCTTAAATTCAGCTCTCTCATATCCTCTAAGGATCTCAAGGCAGTGGTAGATGGTGCTCCCCTCCTCAATTTATCCTCATAGCCACCCTGTGATGTAGGTGAGGCTGAGGCACAGTTACACTCTGCTATACCAACACTGGCTCCCAGAACGTAAGTTTTTCCATTCTTTTAAGCAGGGCAGTCAGTTCACTGCAGCCTGATGCTGCTCTACAGCAATGCTTCTGCATAAAAACTGCAGTGTTTAATATTTCAGTTTCCAAGCCATAAAATAAACGAGAGCCGTTCCCAGTTTCCTAAGTTTCAGCATGAAAACGTTGCCACTGATGGCACATAAATCCTCCTCAGAGCCCCTGAATTCTGTAATATAGAAAGTTCTGTAATATAGTTCTATAATCTAGAAAGCTCTCGCTGAATTGCTGCATTTCAAAAATCTGACAAGGCTGTGGGTTTTAATTAGGTTTTGACTGGGATTCATGCTTCCATTCCTTTTTCAAGCATAAACGCATTTCATTTACTAAATTGTTTCTCTCCAAAATCTTTTCACAGGGAAGGAGACATTTACATAAAATAGAGCTTAGCTGCAATCGTGCCACCTGCATTCTGCCAGGCAGAGATGACCTTGTGTTTCAGGAAGTGCTTTGTCAGATCAAATCCAGCTACTGATATTTGCTGGCTCTCAAAACTTTCATGCAAGCAATTAAAAGGCTCTTGTGCTTTTTTCCTAAAAGGCATGGCTACAGAAGGAGGGTTAGAAGGAGTTGTGAGTGCTGGGCCATAAGCT